CCCCCCCACACACACACACGGGTGGACTGACCACGCCGGCCGGTCCTGACTGACAGGCGTGTGTCTAGCGGCCGCGAGCCATCAATATACTGTACTACTCGGTACTCGCGGTATGTTAGGCGTGCACCGGGTGGGGAGAAAAAACCAAGCCGTGTATCGGATGACAAAAAATGCACAGGCGTCTTCAACGACCGATTTGCTCAATGGCATGTTTTCAATACAGCCAGAGAAATGTTTTCTTAGAAAGTACATTTCAACCCACGATCAATTTTACTCTTGACTATATTAACTTCAATCGTATTAAGATTTTGTATTTATTTATTTTTTTGCTCGAAAGGGAAATTCGTCGTGTCAAGAAAAGAATTGGGTCACTTTTAGTACAAACTGTTCTGGAAACAAGAAATATTTTTCCTATGTGTGAGATTTTTTTTTCAAAAAATAGTAATTTCTTTCGTACAACATACTTGCACGACATATATTCGCAGTCTGTATTAGAATGTGGGAGTAAAACTACTTAAGTGCCCGAGGCGGCAGGTGTGACGCTGCATACGCGCGGCCCCGGCGCGAGGCTATAAGACGGGGGGCGGCCGCGGCGCCGCGACCAGACCGCCGCCACCATGGCCGTCACCCTCCCCGTCGTGCTCGCCCTCGCCGCGCTGTGCTGCGCCGCCGTCGCCGCCCTAGAGCCGGCCGCGGCCGCGTCCACCATCGTCTCCTACCCCGAGAGCCACGACGGCATCAAGGGCCAGAAAAACCAAGGCAATATAGACAGCCGAAAACCGTTCAAAATTATCTGCCAAAAATGTGTGATGCAACATTCGAGTCATCCCTATTTCCTCCCAGGTTGTGACAAGGGCTGCATCTCCGGCGACGTGTGCCACAAGGCCGGGACAACCTGGGCCGACGACTCCATCAAGAGCTGCAAGGTGTTCGTCTGCAACACCAAGAAGAGCAAGGAAGGCAAGCTGACGTACGACGTCGGCACCAAACGGTAGGTGGCAGAGCCCAAATAAGCCAGGACCAAATTTACGTTATGTAGAAAAGTAAGGAACATTTGTCATGGTCCTAAAACCAAAATTCACACTAAAAAGTTTTCCTCGTAAATTTACGACAACCAAGTCCTGCTTGTCAATTAATTCCAAGTCATATAGTCTACGCTCGAGTCTACGTCTACAGACTCGCGAGTTATTTTGAATAGAGTATGCTTGCAATTTGGAATTTTAAGTTGTAATTTATTTACAACACACATTATGGAAAATCTTCTTTTTATACCCTTAGAATAATTTCTGTGTTTTTAGACCAGATTCCTAATAGTCGCGATAAAGTTTGAATCCGCTCGCCATGAAAAAAGTGCCCTTCGGCAATTGCTTTGTACTTTAGGCATCCGAACGCTTCATACTGACAGTCCTCGCTGATTTGATATTGTGTCCCCAGGTGCCCCAAGCTGCCCTCCCCAGGACAGACTTACAAGAAGGTGCCCGGTGATCCCAAAAAGGCATACCCGCAGTGTTGCCCTTACCTGGTCAAAAAGACGAGCAAAAAAAACTAAGGCCCGGTGAGAGCATTTTAATTTAAGAATAAAAGCACGAGGCCGGACCAAGGTCTCACGCTGTAAAAAATGTCTGATATTTTGAGGTCAAGGGGGAAACTTTGAGGAACCACCACAAACTCGTTAGATTTTAAATTAAAAAAAAAACTCCTTTAAAACTTACGATTTCCCTCACAATCTGAGGAGTTTTCCTCAAATTTATAAGTTTCTTCAGAGTCCTCTGTTTTCCTCAAAAAATCAGACATTGTTTATACCGTGCTCCACGCGCGATTATTGACTTATTATTGGAAAGTGTAGACATATATTGTTCGTGCTTCTAGTATCGGGACAATAACACAGACAGAAGCACGCCTCTCTCTCTCTCTCTCTCTCCCTCCCTTACCCTCTCCACTGCACGCTCGCCAACCGTCACGTGTGTTGCCATCGTGCCAAAGTGTTTCTGTTTGGGTGCGCCGTACAGGTGCCCAGAGCTGCCCGCCGCCCAGGAGACCCACGAGAGGATGCAGGGCAACGCCAGCGCCGCCTACCCCGCCTGCTGCGACTACCTCAAGCCCGTCCTCCAATGAGATGGCTGTGTGGAACGGGTGCTTCCAGAGAGAGAGGGGGAAGTCCCATCCCCCCAGAGGCCACCGTGTCACTCGAGCACTATCTCAACCTGACTGCGATAAACCAGCGCGCCTGGAGCTGAGTGCTCGATGCTCGCCCGGGTCACGCCGCCGTAGCTTTCATTTCACGGTAAAAACGACGTCTTATGGTTTCCAAGCGGCCAAGCATCTCTCATGGAAGAAATACATGGCAACGTCTTTACGGTTTTTCCAAAACCGGTAGATAAACCAAAAAGTCCCTTTTATGGTGTTTAAACAAGACACCATCGTCATCATTACAACAGACACCGTGTTACCATTTCCAAAATTAAACATGTTCTCATTTATTTATTTCGCTTTATTTATTGCCTCAACTTATCGGCCCTATAAGCAGTCCATAAGCTACAAGCTCGCATTGAGGGACAATACAAAATATCAAAAGTTATAATTGTGTATCCAAGGCATTTGCATGGTACAACAAATTGCATCAAATATGCTGCCAAACCCACGAAAAACTAACCGCAAAAGATTAGAGATTTCGATTACGGTTACAAATACGGGGCATTTGTATCTTAAAAGAACTACTCAAGAGCACGACTATTTGCAAGCGGTACAAACCTAAACTTACCAAATAAATTCAAACAGACCTAAATTTTAAACTGTAACAATAACCCTTACATAACACATCATGTTTAGAGGAAACGACGCAGGCTGGAGGGAGGGCCAGAGGCCCTAGTGCTCCTGAGCGATGGGGTCCGGTGGGGGTCAAGAGGACAAGACGGCAGCACTCACTACATGAGGGAGCTCGGACCTTCAGGGAGATCCATTACACGTGCGATCAACGAAACAAAAGTCAGCCGCATAGCCAGAGGGGCCTGTGACCCCAGCGGCACCGACTAATTGAGTGTCTCGCCAAGCCTTGTTGGCCACGACACCCACTACCAGCAGAGCCGCGCCAGAGAGAAGGAAAATACACCTTCTCTCTCGCACCCAATGCGCTATGAACAGTATGTGTTTGCGAGAGAGGGGGGGGAGGGA